CTTCTGGATCTTAGGCTTCAGGGATTATCCTCCTCTCTTAAGACGTACCTGGCGGCTATCTCCGCTTTTCAGCCAGGTGCCAGGGGCAAAACCATCTTTGCAGATCCAATGGTAAACAGGTTTCAGAATGGCTTGGACAGGCTTTACCCATGTGTTCGGCAGCCTGTTCCCCAGTGGGACCTTAATTTGGTCCTGTCCAAACTCATGGGGCCCCTGCTTTAGCCATTGGCAATGTGCTTGTGGCTTTACCTGTCCTACAAGGTGTCTCTGATGGCCATTATGTCAGCCAGGTATGTGTCCAAGCTGAGGGCCTTCACTTCGGACCTCCCATACACAGTCTTCTTTAAAGACAAGGTCATGCTTCGCCCCCATCCTGCCTTCCTGCCTAAGGTGGTGTAGAACTTCCATGTGTCTCAGGACATCTTCCTGCCTGTCTTCTATCCCAAGCCCCATGCATCAGGTAAAGAACATGGTCTGGATGTTAAGAGGGCTTTAGCCTTTTATTTGGAAAGAATAAAGCTATTTCACAAGTCACCCCAGCTCTTTGTTGCCATTGCGGAATGGCTGAAGGGTCAGCCGATATCCACACGGAGGATCTCCACCTGGATCACAGCATGTATTAGGGAATGCTATGGGCTGTCCGGAGTCCCAGCCCTTCCCCTCATGGCCCACTCTCTAGAGCCCAGGTCTCCTCTGTAGCTTTCGTGGCTCAGGTCCCCATCCTGGACATCTGCAGGGCTGCCACATGGTCATCTGTCCACACCTTTGCCAACCACGATGAACTGATACATCAGGCAAGGGAGGATGCTGCTCTGGGAAGGGCTATTTTCCACTTGGTGTAAGGTTAGAACTCCAATCCCTCCTCTTGGGGTTTCTGCTTTGGAGTCACCTACATGGAATGGACAGGAGCAAGCACTTGAAGAAGAAAGAACGGTTATTTACCTCTTAACTGTTGTTTTTCAAGATGTGTTGCTCATGTCCATTCCAAATCCCACCCACTTCCCCTTCCTCGGAGTAGTCTGGAAAGAAGGAACTGAGGGGGTGGAGGGGCAGCAGGGGGATATATCGGCGCCACTCCAAGGGGCTCCCCTGCTGGCCCAATGGGTACTGCTAAGGAAAAAAATTCCAACGACACATGCATGCTGCATGCACACACCTGCGTTGAATGGACATGAGCAACACATGTCAAAGAACAACAGTTACAAGGTAAGTAACCATTCTTTCTAGTCGCAATAACCTCCAGTAGGAGAGATGGGAAACTCGCTGCTTAATGGCGGACCCTCCTTATGCAATTTTCAGCAAGGACAGAGTGACGGCACCACCCTAAATTTCTCCCAAAAGTCCCCTCTCCTTTCCACATCAACAACCCCATAGACTTACCTGCCTTTTTCCCCAAGCTGCACACTGTTCCATCCCTCGCTGCTCGGCACACCCCTGATATCCGCAGAGCGCTCGCGTTCTGCATTGATCGGATGAGAGTCTGGCAAACATCTCCTTCACAGAATGATCCAAGGGGCAAGTTGTCTCGTCTCTTAGAGGATCTCCAAGTGGATCTCTTCATACATCCACACGTGTTACACCATCCACAATAAAGAACCACCTGGCACCATCACTGCCCATTCCTCCAGGTTCATGTCCTCTACTACTGTCTTCCTCAGCAATGTACCTCTCCAGGACATTTGCAACACAGCCACTTGGTCATCAGACAACACACTTGCACACCATTATGCCCTGGCATCTTCCATCGCACCATCCATGGCTGTGGTAAAAGCAGTATTCTCCTCGGTTATAACAACAGGGTTCCAAACCTGCCTCCACGAGCCGACTACTGCTTTATAGTCACCCAGAGTGGAGCTCTCATGGGGACACTACTTGAAGAAGAAAGAGTTACTCACTTTGTGCAGTAACGGTGGTTTTTCGAGATGTGTGTCCCCATGGGTGCTCCACTGCCCTCCCTCCTTTGGAGCCACACACTCTATTAGCCCGGGTGGAGAAGGAATGGAGGGGCCGTACTGTATGTGTGCCTAACGGACACTAATGGCACGAGGGGGCACCACAGCGCATGCATGGTGCAACGAACACTTCTAGAAAAATCTCTGGTTGCTGGCTCGGGGACTCACTAGAACCCAGAGTGGAGCACCCACGGGGACACACATCTTGAAGAACCACCATTAATGCACAAGGTGAGTAACTCTTTCTTCTGCATTCTTGTAATTGTTAAGTGTAAACTGTTTCAGAAAAATATTAAGGCAGTTTATTAAAAACCAAATGAGTCTTTGCACTAAAATATTTCAGAAATACCCCTTACATTATGCTGAAACCAAAAATATTGCAACAGTGGGCATCATTCCTAGACTATTAATGTTGAGGCAGTAGTGCCATAACTCCATTGATATGAATAACAAAAATCCTTGATTTTCTGTTTTGTTTTTATCCGGCTTTCATTCTGATTCCACTTTCAGTCATCCGTAACAGTTGATGTTGTTTTCTTTTGATTAAATGGATGGGAAAATACATTTATTTATTACAGAACAATGTTGTTCCGTTATTTTATGTATTTCCATTATTCCATTAATATTTATAGTGTGCCAAGGACACCACTCAGGGTTGGACCTGTAGTGCTAGGTGACATACACAAACCAGGCTCCAAGGAGTTTTGTATTAGTCAGCATGACAATTATAAGACCCAGTAGTCTGGCCACTCATTTTGTCCAGGTCTGTATCATTAGTCTGGCCGCAAAATAACACACTTTAGTTGTTTTTATTTCCCCATTTTCTACTTCTAATGTTTTGCCTTTCTTCTAACTCTTCTTTTCATTCTTTCAGCCCAAGATCTAATAGTTTCCCTCTATTAGACATATTTCAAATGTCTTTATCCAGAAATGTAATTTATGCTATCGTGCTGAAAGTATCCGTCTGCTTTGTACATTGGACAAACGTCTCAGACACTTCGCCAAAGGATCAATGCCCACAAAACAGATATTAGACAAGATCACACAGAAAACAGTTTCTTGCCATTTCAACCAGAAAGGACACTGTCTCAACGACTTAATTACCTGCATCCTGCTTCAGAAGCCTTTTAAATCTGCACTTGAAAGGGAATCCTCTGAACTGTCATTCATGCTAAAATTTGACACTCTACGCATGGGTCTCAACAAAGACCCTAGCTTATCTTACCCATTTCAAAGATAGCTTCCCCAATTATCACCTCTAATATTATTAGCTCACAGACATTTACCTTCCCCCCGCCCCGCATCCCCCTTCTGTTCTGAAATTTGATTTGTCCTTTTCATATGTGTTCCTTTTTTTTAATTGTATTCTTTGGTATATATGGTTGTGACTATTTTCTTCCACTATTTGATCTGAGGAAGTGGGTCTGGCCCACGAAAGCTCATCATCTGATAAACCATCCTGTTAGTCTTTGAAGTGCTACATAGTCCTGTATTTTGTTTCAGCTACACCAGACTAGTACGGCTACATTTCTATCACTTTATCCCAATTGTTCTGCATCTTGAGCTGCACTTTGCTAAGGTTTCTCTGGCGTAGCTAGGATCACATGATTTTCTGTCAATACAAAATTTTAGCAGTTATAGCTGCACACAGATGTATTTGAGTAACTCAGTTTCTACTTTCACTTAAGGATGATATGCTTGCCCAGGATATTATTAAATACACCTGTTGAGCTTTGAAATTATTTAAATGTTCTTTATTCTTTCCTTTTTTCTTAGTTCTTAGTGATGTTTTATCTAAACTACAAGTCTCAAAAGGAGAAGAGAAGTAAAGAAAAATTCCCCTACATATAAACCAGTTGGATGGAAATAAATACAAGACTATTTTTGGTTATTTTGGTCTGGTCACTTCAATTAGCACCTCATTTTTTATGTAGCCTCCAGTTTGTACTATGCTAAATCAAAATTTCCTTGGGTAGCACATTGGCCTTAAATCATACAGAAAAGTCACTGACTATTATAGAAAATGAAATGATAGTTTCTGCTAATATGAGACACCTACATTTTATAATCCTAGCCAAATGGTATCAACCCTCTGCCATTCCTTGTAGTCTGCTTCTCTGTCCTTGGGGTCATGCCAAGAGTACCACTTACTTTACTAGTTCACAGAACATTTAGATTAGAAAGGCAGCAGCCGCAAGAAGCAGGTAAGGAAGACTGAACTTCCTGAGTGCTTCTATGGTGTGAATATTTAGTTGCTAGACTGAATGAAGGAATTTCTAAGGTCAGTTACTTATACCGGTTGAACCTCTCTAGTCCAGCACATTCATGGTCTGGGATGATTTTAGTTAGATGTCCTTTTATCATAGGTGTGGCCAAATTTTCCATGGTCCGATAATGTTTGTTTAGAGCCACCTGATGCTCAGTGTTCTGTGCTGTTATTTACCTCTAATTTACCCCTACATGTCTTCTAAGAGCCAAGTAAGCAGTGGCAGAGCTGGTAATGCTGTAAGACAATATTGACCTCATGTGGCATGGCATAGTCTCTGATTCAGTATTGGTCAGATCCCAAGGGTGCTGGACTAGAGAGGTTCAACCTGTGTAAATACTTTTTGCACATGATATGGATGCAGGTCAAATGTAATTACTGAGATTTCAATATTTTTTTTAGCACAAAAGATAGGTGGTTTTTTATATTTTTTTAAAAAAATACCAACAGAATTGACCTACCAGGTGTGTGGCTTAAGTTTTTAAGTTGTTCTTGTTCCTGTAATAAAGAATTTATAGTGTTGACATTTCTGGATACCTCCATCACAGTTAGAGAGAATATATTTGTTTTCAATAACTTTTTCAGAGAGCACTTTTCTGTTCTTTCAACAATAATATATAACCATAATGTGAAATATTGACTTTCTGGAACTGAAGATCTGAATTTCCTTTCAGGAATATGTATACACCTCACTTTTAGCTAATGTCAGTAAACACATTTTTTTGAGATAATGCAGGAAAAAAGATTGGTTTGACATCATTATTATTTTTTTTTTATTTCAGATTTGGTGTTAAAAAGAAACCAATTTACATTAATGTTATAAGAGATCCTATTGAACGATTAGTTTCTTACTATTACTTTTTGCGCTTTGGAGATGATTACAGACCAGGGCTACGAAGGCGTAAACAAGGAGATAAAAAGGTAACCTTTCATATCTTATTCATACTGAAGTTGATCTGAAAATAGATTTAAAATATGGTTTGGCAAAAGTCATATTTCTTTAGAAATTGCAAAAGTTTTCCAGAATCTTAATAGATATATATAGTTGATATTACACTGTGTGAAATTTTGAAAACGAGGGCTGTTTCTGGATCAGCAATGGTGATGGTGGTGATGTTGGTAAGTGGCATGCTCCTCTTTGTGTTGGTACTGAACAAAGGTATACAACTCCATATTCTGATAGACCTTTGAAGAAGTGTAAATCCAAGATTCTGACCTCTTGTCAACAACTATTTATTTGAATGACTTATTCTAAAACAAACAAACAAAAAAACCTGAAATAATTTGCTTGAAACTTTGCAAACAAATTAATTTAGGGCTAAGAAGTCTATCCAAATGTCAGTATTGTAGATCTCTAAAGTCAAACAAAAACACTGTATAAGACACCCAGAAATCCTTTCCTTAAGGAACCTGAACTGACTACCATCCCCTGAACCCAAAAGCTATCATAAAAGAAGAACATTTGCTTCGTCTTTCAATAGCAGTCCTAGTTGTTGATTTTGAACACTTTATAATATAGTAGAACTGTGTAGCATGCAAACTGCACTACCTGAAAATTGTGGCTCTCAAGAGATATATGTTCTGTACTTTCCTGCTCTTTTTAGAGCTGACCAAGACCCGACCCTATGTAGCATATTCAAGCAGCAAAATCTCACTTGCTCCATAATTCTCTCTCTCTCTCTCTCTCTCACACAAATGCTCACTCATTCACTGTTGGAATACCTCAGTTGGGATCATTCTTGTGTAAATAAGCAAAGTAATGCATTATATTTGCTGAATGCACAGTTTTTAAAGAGCTTGAATTTGACCCAATATATGTTTTGTAAAAGTAAGCTTTTTACAAAACGTAAGTACTGAAATTTTTCAATTTTTGTTTAATTTCAGTGGAAACACAGGATTTTTAAACAAAAAAGATTTTCAGCAATGTTTGCAACCTAAATAGTGCACCGTTATGCTAATACATTGGAAAATTGAAAGTGAAACTGACTAAACCAAAGTGTAACCAAATAGATTATTTTCATTTTGCAAGCAGAGCCAAATGCAAAGAAACAATGACATAGTAAGTAAGTTTTACTTTTAAACTTAGCTTTTTGTTTTTGTTTTGTTTTGTTTTTTAAACAAGACCACTAATCTGGAAGCCTTTGCTTCTCGTTGCATTCTTAGAAGTAGCTGTGTCTCTGTTCCTACTAAGGTTTTGGCTCCATCTGCTGCCCCTGCATCTTACATCCACTCACCAGATTCTCTCACGTGGGTTGAGAGAGAGGTTTCTGCTAATGAAGATATTTGTGTGTTAAGCGTGGGGTTTTTATATGTAACCTTTCAAACATTCGAGACTTTATTTCATGTTCAAGTTAGCTTCAAAATGTTGCAAAGCCTTGATCATCATAACATGTGCTAAATTAGGAGATAACTTAAAGATTGTGTGTGTTTGCATAAACAAGCAATTGTTCAGATACATTTACCGTTGAAAAACATTTTTTAACATTCATTCAACTAAAAATACAGGCAGTCCCCGGGTTATGTACAAGATAGGGACTGTAGGTTTGTTCTTAAGTTGAATCTGTATGTAAGTCGGAACTGGCGTCCCGATTCAGCCGCTGCTGAAACTGATCAGTTTCAACAGCGGCTGAATCTGGATGCCAGTTCTGACTTACATACAGATTCAACTTAAGAACCCCAGGCGTCCCCAAGTCAGCTGCTGCTGAAA